GTCTCAAAACAGGAAAAAAGAGTGAAAAGATGGGCATTTCTTTCCACATGCTTCAGGCTACTCTCGCTTAGACCATCCTGACTAATAGCACTTCTATTCATGTAGGTTTGAAATGTGCTTCAGTTTCAGAATAAGGCAGGTGAAAAATTACATTCAGAGAGTTAAGAAGGGTGTATCCAAGTGAAGGAAATTCTATAGTCTGTAAAGTCTCAAGTCTACTTTTCATCGCTAATAAGTAGATTTAACATGTTTTAACATTGACCATGCTGAGACTCTAAGTTATTTTAGGCTCATATGAAAAATCTTTCCATGTAGAGGCAAGTTTTGTGTTTGTTTACATTTTCAAAGCTAGACAAATCTTCAGCCGTATGGTTCACAGCCATTCAAATTGTCTTTTTCCCAAGTGTTTTTTGGAAGAAGAACGCATAGGACTAGGAGCACTGTTGAGTACAATCAGTATTATGTACCACTTTCTTACGATGTAAAGCTATTTTATAAGATGCTCATACTGCATAGATGGATAAGATAAGTACCATTCTTCTTACAATGCTGGGATCTATTCACAAACTTTTTTTCTTTGATTTTTTTCTCCCTTGGAGCAAAAATACATGCCGCTATGCAAAGATATCTCTTAGATAGATTCCTAGATGTTCTTTCCTTTATAATAATCAAAGAAAAGCTCACAGAAGTTTGGAGATGGGGAAGACTAACAGATAAAAGCCATTAAGGTCAAAATATAAAGACGGTACTGTATGTGTATGTTCATCTATAGTTCCATAACCTGTGTTATCACATAACTTAGTAAACTAATGTTATTCTTGCGGGACCCTGGAAGGTTAGGTGTAATCTGAAATAATCCTCATTTTGGACCCAGCTCAAAGATTTCCTGCAATGTAGAAGAATGAGCATCTTTGTATTTTGAGAAGAAGAGGCAGCAAAATGGGCTGCAGGGAGGCGCTGGGGTGAAGGGAAAGGAGTCTGGGAAGCCTCAAGGCTCTGAGAGAGGCTGCGAGGGGAGCGGGGAAGGAGTGGGGGCCCTTGAAGGAACGGGTGCAGGAGTGTAAGTGTCTTCCTTAGGCCTGTGAGTGTGCCTTGGCTGAGCAGCTGCTCCTCTGAGCTTGGGACTTGGAGGCAGCCTCCTTCTTCCCCAGGAAACCAGTCTGTTTGAAGAAGAGGAACTGATCGGTTTCATTGCACAGAAATATTCAGGAACAACAGTCCCTTCTGTAGACCTGTGAATTAGGACTATGCCTTTTGATCGTTTTTCGAAGATCATTTCTCAAGAAAGAAGTTTTAATGTCACTATAAGCTCTCAAAAAAAATGGAAAAGAACTTTGAATTCTGTATGTGGGCCTGAATAAATAGATCCATTGAGAGAAATATAGAGCAAGTGGCATGCAATCTGGCATGCATGAGCCAAGGGCAGAAATGCACACGTACTCCAGCTCTGATTGCTGCACCTGTATTTTTGAGAGTTGCAAGACAAAAAGTACTGCTAGTATGGCCTAGCTGCTGCTACTGAATTCAGCACCAAATCCACCCCAAAATTATTTTGATTCGCAGAACAGGAATCACAACCATGAATTGTGTCTGACGTTGTAGAAACCCAGGAAAGCAGGAACGTGATGGTTCATTTTAAGATAAGATGTACAAAGGCAGAGCTGAGTAGTTTATTCTTATAGCAATTGAGGAGAAGAACAGGGCCAACACATCTATCTGTGTTCCAGCACAAAACGTTCATCTGCAGCCGGTCTGAGAGGCAAGGGTTAGATATGCCCTGTATTTATCTTCATCTGGTACAAGTCTTGGGCAATGTTTTCTTCCTAGGGCAATGTCATTGAATGAGTTTGCTGCTTTGTGAAAGTTAACAGATTACTATCAGAATCTGTTAAAATTCTAGCCTTTAAAAGTTTAGTCAATTTTTAAAAAATTTGGACACATTTGGATTGGTTGCCCTGCCACTGGATTTACTCTGGTAGTTATTGGGGGCTGTTATTAATCAATTTGACTATGTTTGAAACAAGGTAATTTCCTTATTGTGATCTCCTCATGCTTCTTGAGAAAGTGAATGTCACCAAACCTGCTACAATTACAGTTATAATTGTTTTTATTTCTGAATATAGAAATGCATTTTATTTGTGGGGAGTATATAACATGGTGATACCGAAAAAGGAAGCTTACTTGCAAACATAAAACATGCAGGATGTATTCTCTAAAAGACCCAGTTACTTGAAAGGTAGGCCTGAAACATGGGAAGCTTTAGCTTGCACTGATGGAATCTCTGGGCAAATAGAATTGTTCTGACTTTTTTATACCTTATGTTTTGGCAAATTTTCTTAATTTTGCACATTTCCATGCTTAACTTTACAGGTGCTTATTTGAATCAGTTGCTGCTTCTTTCTGCAGGTGCAGGTTTATTTAGGGTGACAGGGCCTCTTTGCCCTGTCTTCTGTTTGTTAGGTAGTGCAAGGGGGTTCCTTTTGACATGGCAGAGCAATAATACAGCACAATTCAGTTCAATCAAACAGTTCAATAATACAGTTCGGTCAAATACTGAAAAATCATTTCCTCATGAATTTAAAAAATAAAGGAAGGACAATATGAGTTCCATACATAGTTGAAGCTTCATTAATGAATGTTTGTAGAATGCTTCAAGATTATCAGAGGCAAGGTCTTGTGTGAATGCAATATTTTATTAAAATATTTAATAAGCAAATTCTCTCAGTAATGGGAACAAAAAATACCTGTCCGGTCTTAATTTTCCTTACCCATAATTATTTCTACTGAACATAATTACCTTAGGTACAGTCTTTTCTTTACAGAGGATAATTATCCTAGAAGTTTCAACCTCCTTTCTGTGTAAGGATCTGTCTCAAAACCCACACCTTGTAGCAGTCTGTTTTTCATTTGAAGAGAGTTCTACAGGATTGACATGATTTATGTCAACATGTTTTTATAGTTTGACTGCTTTTGCAACTATGGGTATAGGTAAAATGGGAAGCCCTTAGTCACAAACGGTAATAATTCAGTCTGGAAGATACACTGGAAACATGTAGTACAGGAACAGAATCTTTTTTGACTCTGAGATGTAGTAGAGGTAACTCCTGCTACTGTCTACTGTAGCCAAAAGAGGGGCTCATGATTTCTTTTCTGTAATCTGAGCATCTTCAGGGAATTCCCATTCCCTCTGACTCTTCATGACAAATGAGGCAAGGTGGCCTGGACAATGCCATTTGCTCCATGTAGGTGATTGGAAACATTTTATGGGTGTACTTACACTAACACTTACGGAGTTTAATAAATTCAAAACCACTGACTTAAAGTGCGTTTTACAAGCTACTCACAAGGAGGGAGTAATATTTTATTCTTCAACACTAAAGAGTGATTGACCCAGTTTACTTTTAGGTTTCTAATAGCAAAGTACTGTTCAGAAATGGTACAACTTCGTAATAATCTAATAGGTATGCTTCGCTGTCTTTGAACATCCACAAGGAACAAAATTACATTCTTATGTTCTTGGTAGTAATTTTAGTAAGGATAACAGCAAGAAAACAATTTTGTTTTGGAAAGACTGTTTTGCCTGAGTAGCAGATTTCCATATATCTCATTATGAGGCACTTTTTTGATATTTGTTTAGACTGTCTTCCTTTGGAGGGATATTTACCACTGTAGACCCTTATACCTCTTGAAGTGATATGTTACCAAAAACTGAGGAAAATACACCAGCAGGTCCTGTTAGAGAATAAAAGACTTACTTGGCTGAGAGGATGCTTGTTTCCAACCAATTCAATCTTTTATGGAAACAGCATTTAAACAGGAAGCCTTAAGTCATTTAGCTTTTGAAGATTTTTAATTGTACCCAACAAGGTTCTGGATGTTTAGTGGGTGATGTAAGGCACAACATGCAATGCAAATTGATGTCCCTTTTGATTGGCAGGAGACTGTAAGAAAGATTTAGGTCAACAATGCCAAAAGAAAACATAGTGGACTTCAGTTGTAGCTTTATACAATCCAGTTTAAATAAAAAGTGCTTGATCTTTACATGTTGAAGAAGCTGTTGTCCTCAGCAATAGTGGGCATCTTTCAATCTTCCTGCTTATGGTAAAGGCAATTGATTAAGCTGCATAAATGCATCTCTGGAATCCCCTTATTTCTGTTATTTGGGTTCCAGGTCTGTATATTGTGCATGAAATGAGTTAGTTTCTTTGTTTGTATTATTTCCTCCTTGGGATGAACAGAATCCTAGAATCTATAATCATAATTTAGATTAGAGGAAACCTCTGGAGCTTCGTCTTTAGAGCAGGCCAAACTTAGATGAGATTGCTCACAGTCTTGCTCAGTGGAGCTTTGGGTATCTCCAAAGATGTAGGTACCACAGCCAGTGTTTGATTGCTCACTTATCAAGGCCATTAGATGAAGAGCACGTCAAAAAAAGAGTGTTGAAAGGTGCTCATTCAGGACAGGTTTCGTTTCTTCTCGCTAGGCTTTTGGATTTGAAAATAAAATAATTGGGCATCCATAGGGATACAGATGATCATCTGTATAATCAGTTATGAATGACCTAAAGGTATTGATTTGAATTCCAAGGAATTTGAAGGAGCCTGAGGAAAATATTCTTTGGTCTTCTAGAAACTGTGTTACTGAATAACTTGATGGACTGTGGCTAAGTTACTAAGTTGAAAGATGTTTCCACTGTCTGATGTATGAGAAAATCAAAATCCTCTCCTTCCAGGTCTAACAAGATGTCTTAACTACAATGATTGTTGAAGAGGACTTAAAAAAAATTAACTGTTGGCAATGAAAAACAGTTTCTTGGGAGAATGCTTTGCATTAATGATATTCTTGATTAAAAGTGGGGAGAAGTTAGGATAACCTTATTTTATAGGCAGTATTACCAATACCCATTGTATCACCATGGCATACTAAATACATTTCCTTGTTATGGAACTCATTTTTCAATTTAGGGCAAGAAGAGAAAATGTAAAGATCAAATCCTAAAGGCTGTGTGTGTGATGTACTTCTAAATAAACTTCTTTCCAGTGCTCTTGGAGGATCGTCCGCCCTTCACATCCCAGCCTTTCCTGGTGGAGGTTGTCTTATCGACTACGTGCCCCAAGTGTGCCAGCTACTAACAAACAAGGTAAGCTTGCAACTTACCTTGCCCTACATGTTGTACTGTACTGTAATAACACACTACGCCATTTCCATAAGCATGTTTTTCCTCTGCCAAGTGGCTCAAGTAAGGTGTATTTAAGATAAGCAATCCAAGGAGTAACTTGCAGGGTAATAGCTGAGCACCAAAAGCGTGTGGTGAATGTAATGAATCTTTCAGGTAAATAAGTCTCTTTTGTATCAGGTCCTGGATTTGATTTTCTAGCTGTGATTTGTTACAGTTAGAGTAAAATGTTTTGGTGGCTCTTTTGCTAGAAAATGCAGAAGTATAGTTCATCTCTTAAATCTCTATCTAAAGTATTGTACCATAATCATCGTTGTAGATTTTGACGGTATAGGAGACAATTCAGTGATTTTCATCTTGGATATTTACTCCAAAGTAACTTAATCAGCAGTCTACTAGGATGTTTATACAGTAATAGGCACTTATTGTTGCATGTACTGAAAAGTTTGTGTTCTGGTTGTCCTAATGTTTTGAGAAAAAAAGAAAAAATAAATATTTTGAGATCTTCTCTATTATTTAAGTATAATTTTCAATACAAAGCTTAGGAGCCCTCATCCTGGAATCTGCCTATTATAGACTTCCTATTTGTATTTATATATGATTTTTACTTCTGTTTGTCCAAAGGAGAAAAATAAAATTATCTTTCAGAAAAAGTTTTTCAAAATGTGCTTCCATAATTATATTGGAATCTATCTTTAGAGTTGTTTTTGTTGTGGTTTTCTGTTAAAATTACTTTCTGTTTTTAAAATCTGCATGCACACAGGACTGTTTTTATCCTTTTTTAAACAAAGTCCCTTAAGCAAACTTATCATATGTTTTCCTTTTCCCAAAATAACATTTCAGATCCCACACAAAGCCTTCAAAATAATCATAGTTTTTATAAAATGAAATAAGTCTCGTTTTATAAATAGAATGATTTTACTTTAAGGGGTACAACGTAGCTCTCGGCAATGATTCTATCAAGGCTTTTTCAAAAAATTTAGGAAAGCATTTGCCAGCTAAGGAATTCTAGTATTACCATAGCCAAGGAAAATAACATGTGCATATATTCCTCCTTTTCATGTTTGGTGGGGAAGAAGTCTTTTAAAATGTTAGCTTTCATTCTAGAAGGCAGAGGGATTTACATAAGAAATGGAGTATGGAACCATTCTGCACGTACTCTTAAGTAACCAGTTGTAAACCAGATGCTCTTTCAACCTGGTAACGGCAACGTGTGTGTCGTTTCTGTCACGGGTCATACCCTTTTCGTGCTATCCTGCTAAGCAGTCCCATTCAAATCAATAAGAAAACAAACACAGCTCAAAGAGAAGTTTGCCTCAAGTCTTTTAAATTTATCATTGTTGGATTTTGTCTGAGCCAGGATGGAAGCCCTTTGAAACCCCGAATGCCTCAGAACTTGATGCTCACGATTGAGTAGGTGGCTCCCTGAGTCAGCACGAAACCAGTGAGGAAGCTTAGTGTAAGGAGATTTTGTTGGAGGTTCAGTCTTCAGAAGACACCTGAGATCACATCTGTGAATTTTTTTTTTTCTTATAACCAGAATGTTATTTTGACACTTACACAGGTAATTATATTTTGCTTGTCTCGGCTTCGTGCTCCAACTTCAGGTAGGCAAGGCGGTGCTCTTCTTTTCTTCACTCTTTAACTTGCATAGTTAAACAGTGCTTCAGTGTATTGTGAAATACTGTTTTTTGCATAGAAGTGAGTGAAGAGATTCCTGTATGTGCAAGATTTTCTGTGTACAAGATCCACTCTTTGGTTTAAAGTTATTTTACGATAAATCATGCAAGCTAAATGTAGGATTCAGAATTATTGCCATGTCAAAAATAAATCTTCCTTAACAAGGAATATATGACAATTTGAGAACATTGAGTTTTTTAGTGTTTTTATAGCTTTGGCTTTTTTTTTCTTTAAGGTACAGTATGTTATTCAGGGATACCACAAGAGAAGAGAGTATATCGCAGCTTTCCTGAGTCACTTTGGAACGTAAGTTTTCTTTTAATGGATATTTTGTAGTATGGGAAAAGGTGTTATTTTCTGCACATAGTCTTTGATTATGTAACTGATTTCTACTCTGTAATTTGAAATTTGGCCATTTTTTTTTTCAGAATGATGTGTATGTGTTCTCTCTAGGTAGTAAAATCGATATGAAATATTACTTCACTTAAGTGTCAGCTGCCAATCTCATTTTACTCAGAAAACCTGTGCAAAATAACCTTTTTTTTTTCCCCCTCCTAAAAAGTGATTAGAGAGGTCTTGCAGTAAAAGGCAGTGTTTGAAGTGCATTAGGGATAGAGAAGTGGGGTCCAGTTCCAAACCTAGCAGGAGCCAGAACCTGCGGTTTGGCATAAAGGCTGTCAGACCATCCCCTCTCGTACATTCAGCAGCATCTTATCCCTTGAGGGAAGGGGCCATCATTTCCTCTTGAATTCCTGTAGCAGGAAGGTCCACAGCCTGACATACCTGACATGCTGACTGACACATCAGAGTCACCGATCAACTGATCGGCGTGCCTTATCACTCTGAAAGGGAGGAGCTTTGGTTTTCCCTCTAAATTCTGATTTCAGGAAGTGTCCAGGAGCTGATGTGATGTGGATTACCTGATCAGCCATATCTTGCCACATTGTGAGGAAGGGCTTCTCCTTGGTGATTTCAAATGCTGTGAATATCAGGAACACTTGAAATTCAAGTCTCTCAAACAAGAATAGAAAAGGAGTTTTGGCATGCACACAAGTTTTATGCAGCTGTAGGTAGATAACAGTGACTTGAACCTAGACATGTGAGTAGTTAGAAAGGTGATGCAGACCCTGGACAAGTAATGTGTTTCTTCTGAGAATTATTTGACTCACTCTAGAATGCAGAAATGGTCCAGGTGTGCCTCTCTTATGCCACCTTTTTATTTTCCTTGTGAAGCAGTTTGAGAGTTCTGATATTACTTCACACTTCTAGCAAATGCCACCTTCTGATCGCTGAGGTTTTTGATTTTTGTAATGAATAAGTATTCATTCTTTATTGCTCTTTTGTCTACTTTTATGCTGAGGCTTTTCTTACATGTGTTCTTCTGAATTTTCAAATTTAAGATCTACTCCTTTGCATTTTCCATTTTATGTTATGTTCTCTACTGCAGAGATGATAATTTATCTTCATATGAGTAACATACGGGGAATTTTTGACTAACGAACACTTATCAACAATTTATTACTGCAAATGTCAGTAGCAGCTCTTGTTATATTCTAAAATGTATTTGTGTAAATTGAATATGATTTTTTATCAGGTAAAGGACCTCCAGTACAGCAGCATAAATAAGAAAATTGTTAAGCTTAAAAGTTTAGTTGAAGTTTGGCTACAAAATTATTGCAGTTAATAAAATTCATATCAGAAATTTCTAAAGAAACAAGCCAAAAAAAAAAAAAACCTATAATCCAGGACTTACATCTTTATTGCATAGTATTGGAATTCATGCTAGGTAAAAATTGCATTCATTTTTTTTGTATTTCTTGTTGCTAGTGGTGTGGTGGAATACGATGCAGAAGGCTTCACAAAACTTACTCTATTGCTGATGTGGAAAGATTTTTGCTTCCTTGTTCACAGTGAGTAATTCTGCCTCAGGCATAAATTTCTATCCTCTTGAAGATACGAGTTCAAAAGGGAAAAAAATACAATTACAGGAAACAATTTAAAAGTTTTAGCTATTTTTATCCAGCACTTAAATGTATTTTTGATGTGGCCATGACACTTCGAAAACACAAAATCTTGGTCATGCTTGGCGAAAGAGAGAGGAGCTCTGTGGATAGCACATTCTGCCTGCTTTTCAGAAAACTAAAGGCGTTCTGGGAACTTTCTCTAGTAACTTCACCCAGACTTAAGATCACAGTTGTAACTTTTCCTGTCAAGCTGTCAACAGTGCAGCAATAATGAGGATGTGTGATCAGGGAATACCTAGAATGGTGTATAATTGCTAAGAGTTAATACATTGGTAGGGATAGTAGTGACTCTTGAGTGTAAGGAAAATACATAGAATCATAGAATCATAGAATGCTTAAGGTTGGAAGGGACCTCTAGAGATCATCTAGTCCAACACCCCTGCACACACAGGGTCACCTAGAGCACGTGGCACAGGACTGCATCCAAGAGGGTTTTGAAGATCTCCAGAGAAGGAGACTCCACAACCTCTCTGGGCAGCCTGTTCCAGTGCTCTGACACCCTCACTGTTAAGAAATTTTTCCTTAAGTTCCTGTGGAACTTTTGATGCTTCAATTTCCAGCTGTTTCCTCTAGTTCTGTCGGTG